AATGCCACCTCCACTCTACTACCACCAGCTCTGCATCTCAAAGAGGTTCACTCCTGCTTCTTCAGCTTACCCTCCTCACAGCACTTCAGCAAACAAGACAACAAATGGGACAGAGCAGCCTTTTATGCAGGAACTTCTGCAGACAGAAAAGGGTGGTGACCCTGCAACCACCAGCTGAAGGCCCCGAACAGGAGCAAAACAAACAGATTTAGCCTTTTCTTGTTAAATTTCACAGTTCACTTTTCCATCTCCCCATGCAATCCCCCACAGGCAGCTGCCCACAAACGTAGGTTAACCAAGCTTTCAGCAAAAGGCTTTCGAGAAGCTTTTGCTGTTCCCAGAGAGCAGCACTTCAAAGCTTTGCTCTGAGCAAAGTAAATTTTTTTGAACTTTTTTCAAAAGAGGCAACAGCATCAAGTGTGGGCACAGGGGTTGGTTTTGTTTTCTTTCTTCACCCAGATGGAGGTGAGACGAGTTAAAATAATCTTCAGAAGCCTTCAAGTCTACTCAGAGCTGCTAACTGCCTTTCAGCTATTCAGAGAGAAATTGAAGGATCTGCTGCCTGCCCTGCCCAGAAATCCACCAAAAAAGCACAAACCTGGGTTAGAACATGTTGTTGAAGGGATGTGTGAGCTGGGGCATTCCCACCAGCCGAGCACGTCCTCTTTTCCCATCCCCTCCCGTCCGCACGGGCCAGTTTTCCACCTCCCCCAGGCAAATCCCAGCATTCCGGTTCCCGCAGCCACGGCACGAAACCAAGGACTGGAGCTGGGAGGCAGCAGGGCAGCCAGAAACCAGCTTTCCCAGGGACACCCTCGGCTGCTGAAATGCTGCAGGTCCCACTAACGGCTTGAGCTGTTTTGGCCCCGAAACCACCAAACCCAGCTCAAACTCTCCAGTCTCATCTGCAAACCATTAGCGAGCAGGAAGGAGCTTCTCAGGGGCTGTGGGAGCCTCTGCAGAGGGAGGCAAGGAAGCAAAGGGAGCCAGGGAGGGAGTCAGGGCACCCTTCCCAGAGGGGTCAGGGCACAACCAAGCGTGGCACAAAGCCAAGGCCGCTCCGACGGCTGGTTGGACTCCATGAGAGGCACTAACTTGGTGATCTGCACTATTTCAAAATAACCCTTCCGGGCAAGCAACATAGTTCACATCAGTTACAAACTCCTCTTTCCTCCTGCATGTGGCTACCACCCCTCCACACTACCAGAAAGTCCTAGATCACCACAAGTCCCTTGAGAGGAGTCAGCTTCACCTCTAGGCAGCCACAGTCCCACACTGCAGGGGCTCCTTCCCTTGTCAAAGAAAAGCCCAAAGAGGCCATGGCACATGACACCCATGCAGCAGCCAGGGCTAGTTGCCCAAGCTCAGGCCAGCATCCCAGTCAGGCTGTCTTTGCCATGAATGAGCAGGGAGGTAGGACACTTGCGGTCAGGGAACAGGACTGAGCCTGATCCGGGTTGCTGGAGAGCTTCTCTGGAGCTCCAGGAGCAACACCAAGCTCCAGGACTGACGGAGAGACCCTGGGGAAAAGGGGTGTTTGTGGGAGAAGCAGCACAGCCGCCCTGGAAGCTCCCAGCACGCCGGGATGGCAGCCGCAGGGAGCTGACAGCACAGCCCGCATTCCCCCCGTCCAACCAGCCCCGGCCAGGAAAATATTACTTCATAATCCAGAGCATAAAGAAGAGATTTATGAGCAGCCTCACTGCCTGCCCCTCTGCTCGCTGCCTGGCAGGGTCTGATGGAGCTAACTGGGGGGCACTGTCTGACCCTCCCCAGTGGCTGCTGCCTGTTGGGAAAGGCACTGGCAGCTCCCGCTCCTCCCGGAGAGGACAGACCCTGCAGGGCACCCAAAGGAGCAGAACCTGAAGCCAGCGGGGTCGATTCTCCCCTGCAGGCTCTTCCCCAGATCCCAGCCCCGATTCCAGGTGCCTCAGACAAGCTGGTGCAGCTGAAGAGGCTGGAAGGACAAAACCCTCAGTCCTGGCAAACTTGTTCAGTAGCTTTTAAAATCAAGAGCTGCACGGAGGGGTGGGAAGAGGAGAGAGTCGCTCCGGAGAACTGAGTCTCTCCAAAAAGCAGGTCCCACAGCTCCTGCTCCACCAACTCCTTCCAACCTCCTTCCCTGTGCAGGTGCAGCTCTGTGCTACCCTGCTCTCCACAACACTGGACACATGAAAAAACACAGGTAACGTAGAGCCAGCCTGGTCCTGGAGCAGCCTCACCTGCCTTCCCTGTGCTCAGGGGGTTACACCCACTACACAAAGGGGGCCAGCAACAGCCAGCACAGCCGCCCTGGAAGCTCCCAGCACGCCGGGATGGCAGCCGCAGGGAGCTGACAGCACAGCCCGCATTCCCCCCGTCCAACCAGCCCCGGCCAGGAAAATATTACTTCATAATCCAGAGCATAAAGAAGAGATTTATGAGCAGCCTCACTGCCTGCCCCTCTGCTCGCTGCCTGGCAGGGTCTGATGGAGCTAACTGGGGGGCACTGTCTGACCCTCCCCAGTGGCTGCTGCCTGTTGGGAAAGGCACTGGCAGCTCCCGCTCCTCCTGGAGAGGACGGGCACCCAAAGGAGCAGAACCTGAAGCCAGCGGGGTCGATTCTCCCCTGCAGGCTCTTCCCCAGATCCCAGCCCCGATTCCAGGTGCCTCAGACAAGCTGGTGCAGCTGAAGAGGCTGGAAGGACAAAACCCTCAGTCCTGGCAAACTTGTTCAGTAGCTTTTAAAATCAAGAGCTGCACGGAGGGGTGGGAAGAGGAGAGAGTCGCTCCGGAGAACTGAGTCTCTCCAAAAAGCAGGTCCCACAGCTCCTGCTCCACCAACTCCTTCCAACCTCCTTCCCTGTGCAGGTGCAGCTCTGTGCCACCCTGCTCTCCACAACACTGGACACATGAAAAAACACAGGTAACGTAGAGCCAGCCTGGTCCTGGAGCAGCCTCACCTGCCTTCCCTGTGCTCAGGGATCGATTGCCCAGGAACAGGGCTGAGGAGACAGCCAGGAAACCCAAATCCACATGGTTAACGCTGGCACTGTCCTCTCCAAGGGAAACAGTTGTCCTCTGTCCCACCACAGACCCAGCGAGCAGCTTCCCTGGCAGCTACCCCTCAGGAAAGCTCTGCAGCCCACGGAGAGCAGCTGACCGACCCGGCGCGTCTTTGGAAAGAGGGAACGCACGCTTCCCAAATCCTTGGAACAGCTCTTTGGAGGGAAGGAGAATTGGGAAAGGCAGAGCCTAGAGAGCCCAGGACAGGCACGAGCCTGTCAGTTGGAAGCACATCTCGGAGCTGGGGCTCCGCGTGCGCAGGAGGGAGGGAGCAGCTTGCCAAAAGATTTCAGCTGGGCCCGGCTCCAGGTTCACTCGGCTCTCGGAGAGGAACCTCGTGTGTCCGTGCTGGCGAGCACTTGCTCAGGCTGCTCTGAAAATCCCATGCATCAGACAGCTAAATACCTTTGGTAAATCTATCTCAGCGCCCAGAAACAATCCCTCGATTCATTAACTGCTGTCAATACTTTCTTTGTTTAATACATGGGTTTGAAACAAAAAACACATTACAAGTCTTTTTTTTTTCTTGTGCGTGCCCAGCACATAAATAAAAGCATCTTAACGTTTCAAATGTGGTTCCTGTGCTTTTTAACCCAGTTCCAAGCAAGTTCAAAGTGCAGCTTGACTCAAAGCAGGACCAAGTGTTACTTTTCCCCCCAGTGAGGCAAAAGAATGCATAAAAATATTTTAAAGAAGAATATGCTTGAAGCAATCTACGCAGCTCAAATCTTTCCAAGTTACAGCAAATCCTTAGCGAGCAAGAAAACCACCAAACCAGTTCAGAACTGCAAAATCATGGAATGGTTTGAGTTTGATCATCGAGATCCAACCCCCCTGCATGGGCAGGGACACCTCCCACCAGCCCAGGTTGCTCCAAGCCCCATCCAACCTGCCCTTCAACACTGCCAGGGATGGGGCAGCCACAGCTTCCCTGGGCAACCTGGGCCAGGCTCTCACCACCCTCACACTCCAGAATTTCCTCATGTCTCACCTAAAATGCCACACGTTTATGGGTTATAAATGCGAACAAAGCCCTAACAAAAACAGAAAATGGGACAAGGCAAGTGGGGATGGAAAGAAAAGGCACTGGCAGCTCCCGCTCCTCCCGGAGAGGACAGACCCTGCAGGGCACCCAAAGGAGCAGAACCTGAAGCCAGCGGGGTCGATTCTCCCCTGCAGGCTCTTCCCCAGATCCCAGCCCCGATTCCAGGTGCCTCAGACAAGCTGGTGCAGCTGAAGAGGCTGGAAGGACAAAACCCTCAGTCCTGGCAAACTTGTTCAGTAGCTTTTAAAATCAAGAGCTGCACGGAGGGGTGGGAAGAGGAGAGAGTCGCTCCGGAGAACTGAGTCTCT